ACCTAAGTTGGTTGACCTTTATAAAACAAGCACTCCAACACTGCTATAGGTCTCTGACTTAATTGATCAAACACCAAGAATGCCCAAGTAGATAGGTTTTTTGCTGTTCTATTAGTCATTTCCAGGAACACCATTCCATGGACTGAAAGGAGATCACCTTGACCATGCTTTGAAGATCTTCAATATTCTTCTGAATGGAATTATACACTATTGTATTGCCTGGGTATAAAAACCTTTTAAGTGTTAAACAAGGAATGATTCATATTTTGTCTGCAAAACTTATTTTGATTTTTATTTTTGGACATGGAGTTGTGCTGTTACGCAGGCTGGAGTGCAGTGGTGCAATCTTGGCTCATCACAAACTCTGCCTCCCCAGTTCAAGAAATTCTCAGCCCCCAAAGTAGCTGGGACTACAGGCATGCACCACCACCTCCGGCTAATTTTTGTACTTTATGTAGAAATGGAGTTTCACTATGTTGGCCAGGCTGGTAACGAACTCCTGACCTCAAGTGATCTGCCCACCGCATCCTCCCAAAGTACTGGGATTACAGGCGTGAGCCACTGTGCCTGGTCTATTTTCTTCTGTTTAATACTTTTTTTTTTTCAGCAACATTTTGGAGGCAGAGGAGGAGAAAAAAAATTTTTTCATTGAATAAAAAATAATTTGCCAACATTTTAATACATTTGTTATTTTACTCTGTGCTAATTACAATTTAATGACTAAGAGATATTTTTAAATTTACATATTTTGGCTGCAAAGTCATATGATAGGGTAATCAACATGCATGAATGACTGTAATGTATAAAAATATACTACCTTCATAATGTATGCATGTTACATGCAAAATATAACTTATGCATAAAATATATAAGAATAGAATCTTGTGTGAAAAGTGTAACAGAAATGCAAATTCAAAACAGAAAGGACTATAAAAATTTTAAATGTCCAGAAAGGAAGCCATTTATGTATTTTTATAAATGAATGATAGGAGTATCAAATCATGACGGTACTTAGAGTCCACTAACAGGGAGACACTCCACATCAAAAAAAAAAAAAAAAAAAAAAACAAGGCCTGGCGCGGTGGCACATGCTGTAATCCCAGCACTTTGGGAGGCCGAGGCGGGCAGATCACAAGGTCAAAAGATCAAGACCATCCTGGCTAATGCGGTGAAACGCTGTCTCTAGTAAAAACACAAAAAATTAGCCAGGCGTGGTGGCACACACCTGTAGTCCCAGCTACTTGGGAGGCTGAGGCAGGAGAATCACTTGAACACGGGAGGCAGAGGTTGCAGTTAACTGAGATCACGCCACTGCACTCCAGCCTGGGCCACAGAGCAAGACTCCGTCTCAAAAAAAAAAACATAAAAAGTAATGTGTGAGGAAGTACTTCTTTATCAGAACATATTTATAAAATATGAAAGTTTCTAAGTTTGAAACCACTGGAGGCTGGGCACGGTGGCTTACGCCTGTAATCCCAGCACTTTGGGAGGCCGAGGCGGGCAGATCACCTGAGGTCAGGAGTTTGAGACCAACCTGACCAACATGGAGAAACCCCCTCTCTACTAAAAAGTACAAAAAATTAGCCAGGCATGGTGGTGCATGCCTGTGATCCCAGATACTCAGGAGGCTGAGGCAGGAGAATTGCTTGAACCCAGGAAGCGGAGGTTGTGGTGAGCCAAGATGGTGCCACTACATTCCAGCCCAGCAACAAGAGCAAAACAAGTGAGAGAGAGAGAGAGAGAGAGAGAGAGAGAGAGAGAGAGAGAGAGAGAAGGAGGAAAGGAGGGAGGGAGGGAGGGAGAGAGAGAGAGAGAGAAGGAGGGAAAGATGGAGGGAGGGAGGGAGGGAGAAAAGGAAGGAAGGAAAAAGAAAGAAAGGAAAGAAAGGAAGAAAGAAACCACTGGACTTGATGATATCTATGTCTTAGCAAAGTGCTTGGCACATACAATAGGCACTCAACCAATGACTGTCTCTCACTGGTTATTGATAGAGAAATAACAAACATACTTCTTGTCTTTAAAAACCTCACAATTCAGTAATAAAAATAACTGCTCATAGTGTGATGTTACAATAAAGTTAAGTACAGTGTATAACGCTGCAAAAGCAGGTGTAATAAGTCTCCTCCCTAAAAGTCAAACAAGGGGGCAGTGTTTATCTGTTCACCAAGGTTCTCTTCCTTGCCCATCTCAGCTCTCTTCTTTGCCCTTTCCTCATAAACAAACTTCCTTTTTAAAGTCTCAAGAATTTGAAGGGAATTGGGAAGTAAGACAGAAGAAAGGGACTGTGATAAGCAAGAAGCAAGAAGGCAAGAATAGTCTGATTTTTATCAAACCACCGAAGGAGAAATTTTACTCTCCTAATTCATACAGTATATCTCCAGGTCTTCAACAATGAATCGGAAACATTCATCTTGAACTGTTCTCCAGGCAAATTAGTTCTCTAATCCCAAACCAGCTTTAAAAGCAGGCACTCTTAGTATTCCTCTCTCTAATTTGATTTCCCACTGTCCTGAGCCAGTGCTTCCTAGGAATCTGTCCTATACACATACTCCCCGGAGGTGGCCAAACTATAAAGTTTAAGGACAAAGTACCCAACATTGCACTCACTTCTGACACCAGTAAAAAGAGGATGGTTGTGTCTGTAGTAAACATGTATTTTTTTCTTGTCATTATTCCCTAAATAACAGTGTAACAACATACCATTTATTATTATTATTTTTTTTTTTTTTAGAGATGGGGGTTTCACTGACACCTAGGCTGGGGTGCAATGGCATGATCATAGCTCACTGCTGCCTTGAACTACAGGTCTCAGGAAAGCCTCACACCTCAGCCTCTTGAGCAGCTGGGACTACAGGCACATGTCACCATGCCCATCTAATCTTTCAATTTTTAATTTTTTTTGTAGAGATGGTGGCTATGTTTCTCAGGCTGGTCTCACATTGTCGGACTCAAGCGATTCTCCCACCTCAGCCTTTCAAAGTACTGGCATTAACAAGTGTGAGCCACTGTACGTGCCCACATCTACACTGCATTAGGCTTTATAAGTAATCTGGAGATGATTTAAAACATGTGGGAGGATGTGCATAAATTATATATAAATACTACACTATTTTATATAAAAACCTGAGCATCAATGGATTTTCGCGTCCAAGGGGAATCCTGGAACCAATCCCCCACAGACTGCAAGGGGCACCTGTACAGCCTGTGAGTCTATCATGTTTAATGTATTATTTGAATACTCAATGTTTTAAATTAATAAACATCAAATGGAAAAGTCAACTCAGTGGAAAGCTATAAGTCAACTTCCCACCATGTCTTTCACAGAATGATGTAAAACACAGCCTATATTTTGGTTGAGTTTTGTTTCCTAATGGCATAATTAGATAGATATTCTTCTTTTATAATCAATTCTTAGCATGAACATAATTCCTACAAATCAGAGCAAAATGCTACAGTGGTAGTTCTCAACATCTTTTTTTTCCCCTAAATTACTGCTGGAGAATAATGACATACACTCCAAAGAACAGAAGACGGGGAAGCAAGAGGGAGCACAGGGCAGGGCCCTCTTTATTCTACCTCTAGGCCCTAGACAGAGAATCCTTGAGTGAGAAAAACACTAGATTACAAATAGAAAAACCTGCAAATATCATCCTGATTCTGCCATTAACTCATTTTCTGAACTGAGCAAGCTATTTAATTTCTCTAATGAGGACAAAACTACCTATGTCAAAGGGTTGCTATCCAGATCAAATAACATTACACAAAATGTGTCCAGTGCATTATTTAACAATTATAATACTCATCCCTGCCCCTTCTTCTTGGAATCTTCCACCCCTATAAAATGAAGAATTCAATTAGCTCAAAAAGGGAGGAATGGGCACTTTTAAACGTTCATAACTTTTATAAGAGTCTTTCATTGAGACTGAAACAAACACTTTTTATTCAAATATGCTCCTTCTCTGAAGAATAGCATAGCACAGAACCTAGTGCTTGGAAAGGTCCAGGTACATACTGTGAAGTTCCGAAATAGGACAGTCATAAGAGAGGTGCCATGCCTAATGTTACACAGTTAATGTCAAGTTAAGACTTGGTACATAGCAGATGACAATAAAATATTCTACAAATACTTAGAACTAAAATTGCCTTCCAAGAATTAAATAAGTAAAATTTCTATAAATCTACAAATATTACCACATAGTCCAAAGAATCCCAATAATATCAAGTAAAGTTTTACAGAATTGGCAGAACCAATCAGGTAGACAGTGTGGATACGACAAGATCTTAAACAACATATTTAATTGGCTCTTCAAATAAAAATTGATTAAAATATATTAGAAAGGAAGAAAATGGGATGCAAAAGCATTAATCACTACAACAATGTTTGAGACTAACACTGGAGTGAAACATAAGAAGCTTATAAAGAAACAGATTAACAGTAAATCACAGGGTTAGAATAAAAAGGCAAAAAGTTACAAGGTTTATGAAAATAATATTTTTAAATCTCATTAGCAAAGTAAATGAGGATTAAAACTCAGAGAAAGCTGAAAGAAAAAAAATTAAACTACATTTAAACCATTTAAACCTGAATACATAAAATAGAACTATACCCTCTGTATTCTTAATTTTTCTTATGCTTTTTTAAAAAGAATTTTTGGATAATTGTTCAAAATGACTAGCCACATATTTTTATTAAAGGAAATTCTAAAATTTGGTACTTGAAAGGTATCAATATTACTGCTTAGCTCTTGGGTCACATCAACAAAACCAGCCCATGTTATATTAATCTCCCATTTGTTTGCTAATACATTCTATTTCTGGCTTCTGTCTCCATACTTCCACTGTGATTTACGTAACAGAGTGCACCACTGACATTCCATTCAAATATAGTGGTACCTTTTAGGCATTACTTTACTATATATCTCTGTTGCATCAGATATTATTAACTATTCTTATATAAACTCATAGTACTTCATCAGACCTTGTCTTAGTTCTGCTTTTTCTTAATCTCATTCTATAGTCACTCTTTATCTATCCATCTATTAAATGTTCTACCTTCTAGCCCACTTCTCCTTTTACTTTTTACTTTTTTTTTTTTTTTAGAAAGACTCATCTATTAGTTGCTTTAAATACCACCTTCATAATAAATAAAAAACAGTGCTAATAATGGTTACCATTTATTGAATATTGTGTCTAACGATGTACAATTAAGTACAGTTAAAGAGTCAAGGTGAGGCACTGTAGCTCACAAGTGTAATCCCAGCACTTTGGGAGGCCAAGGTGAGAGGAGTTCAAGACCAGCATGGGCAACATAGTGAGATCCATCTCTAAAACATAAATTTGTTTAAATTAGCTGGGCATAGTGGGGCACATGCCTGTAGTCACAGCTACTCAGGAGGCTGAGGTAAGAAAATCACTTGAGCCCAGGAGACTACAGTGAGGGTATGACAGCACCACTCACTGCATCCAGACTGGGCAATACAGCATGCTAGACCCTGTCTCCAAAAACAAAAGGAGTCCAGCCGTGACTCTTCTACCTGACAAAAAAACATAAATCCAACTGAATATGCCTACCTGGATATCACAGTCATCTCAAGCATGAACAAAATTCAATGCACTCTCTCAACCTCCTCTTCCACATCCTCCGCCTACACTCCATAACTCAGTTGTAAATGCCGCCATCATTCAGACACCAAAGTCAAAAATTCAAATGTTATCTCTGACTCCTTTATTCTCTTCATTAAATCAATCAAGTCTTACCTGGATAACACTAAAGTATTATTACACTCTCTCTCCCAACCATTCTATCATAACTACAGTGATCAGGTCATCATTTCTCAACAGGTTTATCACTACAGCCTCCTCAAATCTATTGATCCAGTACAGAAACAGCAATTCACATAATCCTAAAATGTGAATCCAACCATGTCATCTGCCTGCTTAAATCTCTCTCAAGTGCTCTCCACTGCCAATAATAGTGGCATGAGACATTTCAACCTCCTCAGTAGCCAATAATATTAGCTAACATACACCAAACATACAAATAATCTCACTCAATCCTCACAAGAACCCTAATATCCTTATTTTAGTCACAAGGAAACTGAGCTTCCATAGATAAACAAGGTCACACAGCTCCAGGGCATACTCTTAACCTCTATTTTATAATGCCACTGGGAAGAAGTAAGTGATTTCTTTCCACATCTGTCTCCTCAATTAGACTACAAGCTGCTTAAAGGCAAAACAGTTATTTAACATTGTATTCCCAGTAACCATAAAGCATGTGCTCCAAAAAGTGTGTGTTGAGCTGTGAAATGAACTGTTTAAAAAGAATCCATGTTTAGGCATCCTGAGAAGTACCATTTCCTTCAACATTCAAAGTTAGGTTTGAACATCAAAGAACCCAAAGAACAGCATCTCATATCGGCAAAATGAAGGAAAGTACTCTGTGTTCATTTAGGATCCATAATTTAGGTTGTTTTTTGAGGAAGCCCCAGAGCAACTCAGGAACAGTCACTTAATATGTGAAATGACATAAAGACTCAAATAGCAATTTACTTATATTCCAAGAATTTAGGACTCTGAAAGAGAGAAGCAGAATAACCAAAGACTTTCTTTTAATGTGGGTCACAAGGTAGTCAAGTAAGAGAAAATATTCAAACTTAAGTAGCATTTCTGACCACCACCAATAATCGAGAATGCTATGGAAAAACATACCATACACACAATAGATTATTTGAAAGATACCTTTTTAAAAAAATAAACATATAAGGAGAAATGTAAAATTTTACAATAAACCTAAGCTGTACTTAATCATAAATGCTAATTATATATGGCTATTACAATTTAATTAAAATCAAACAAAATGTTGAAATTCATCAGTTGCACTAGCCACACCTCAAATGACCAAAGCCAAATGTGACTAGTGGTTACCATGTTGAATAGCACAGATATACAACATTTCCATAATCATGGAACATTCTAGTGGACAGCACACACTGCTACAAAGATACTGATCCCCAATTTGATTTGTACTTTATTGACTTCCACATGGTTTAAATTTTTTCTAAAAAGCATTTAGTTTAGCAAATGATCACTAACATAAGATGTTTAAGTTTTTTTAAAAAACCAACCTAGGCCGGGCGCGGTGGCTCAAGCCTGTAATCCCAGCACTTTGGGAGGCCGAGGCGGGTGGATCACGAGGTTAAGAGATCGAGACCATCCTGGTCATCATGGTGAAACCCCGTCTCTACTAAAAATACAAAAAATTAGCTGGGCATGGTGGCGTGTGCCTGTAATCCCAGCTACTCAGGAGGCTGAGGCAGGAGAATTGCCTGAACCCAGGAGACAGAGGTTGCGGTGAGCCGAGATCGCGCCATTGCACTCCAGCCTGGGTAACAAGTGCGAAACTCCGTCTCAAAAAAAAAAAAAAAAAAAACCAACCTAACCATTTTGTAACCCATATTAAATGTATTTAAATTTTATGTGTTATGAAAAGATCACTGTGGCAAACAGGGCAAAACCCTGTCTCTACTAAAAATGCAAAACTTAGCTAGATGCAGTGGCACACTCCCATAATCCCAGCTATTCAGGAGGCTGAGGCACGCCTGTAATCCCAGCTATTCAGGAGGCTGAGGCAGAAGAATCACTTGAACCCAGAAGGCAGAAATTGTAGTAAGCCAAGATCACACCACTGCACTCCAGCCTGGGCAACAGAGTGAGACTGTCTCAAAGAGAGAGAAAAAAAAAAAGAACCACAATGTGTAGGGACTTGGCCAGACACAGTGGCTCACACCTGTAATTCCAGCATTTTGGGAGGCTGAAACAGGAGGATTGCTTGAGCCCAGGAGGCATATGTTGCAGTGAGCCAAGATCGCGCCACACCACTCCATCCTGGGTGAAAGAGAGAGACTGTCTCAAAGAGAAAAAAAAAAAAAAAGAAATCAGGTAGGAACTTGCCCTATCAGTTGTCAAGCCTTACTGTAAAACTATAACAATAAAAATGGACTGTTTTAATTAGTTCAGGGATAGAAAACAGACCAACTGAAAAGAACTGAAAACTTATCACCAAGCTATAGATAAATAAAAATTGGCACCATAAGTCACTGGATAAAATTTAGACTGTTCAAAATATAGTGATACAGACCAGGCACAGTGGCTCACGCCTATAATCCCAGCCCTTTGAGAGGCTGGGGCAGGTGGACTGCTTGAGCCAGGAGTTTGAGACCAGCCTAGGCAACAGAAATACCCCATTCTCTACAAAAAACTTTAAAATTAGCCAGGCATGGTGGCACACACCAGTAGTCCCAGCTACTCAAAAGGCTGAGGTGGGAGGATCACTTGAGACCAGGAGGTTGAGGCTGCAGTGAACCAAGACTATGCCACTGCATTCCAACCTAGGCACTAGAACAAGACTCTAGCTTATCAAACAACAACAGAAAACACAGTGATATAACAGTTGATTCTCCATTTTAAGAAGTTTTTTTAAACTGGATTTCTACCTCACAGCATAAACAAAAATCAATTCAGGTCAATTAAAGACCTAAATATACAAAACACAATGTTAAAAGTTGTAGAAGAAAATATGCCACTAACTTTCTAAAGAATTAACTATAAGGCCGGGCATGGTAGCTCATGCCTATAATCCCAGCACTTTGGGAGGCCAAGGCAGGTGGATCTCTTGAGGTTAGGAGTTCAAGACCAGCCTGGCCAATATGGTGAAACCTCATCTCTACTAAAAATTTTAAAATTAGCCAGGGGTGGTGGCGCATGCCTGTAATCTCAACTACTCAGGAGGATGAGGCATGAGAATTGCTTGAACCTGGGAGGCAGAGACTGCAACAAACCGAGATCATGCCAATGCACTCCAGCCTGAGCGACAAAGTGAGACTTCGTCTCAACCAGAAAAGAAAAAAGAATTTATAAAAGTGTCAGAGCAGTTTAAAATTAATTTTAAAGCAAAACAATTGTCTAGCTTTTAACTTAACACATGCAGTCTCACTTGACACTCCAAATATTTTTTCACTTTCAAAGCTAACATATACCCATATGTAGAAGTAATACATTTTTATTGACAGAAATAATTCAATTGTAAATTATTGGCACTGAATAATCAGCACTAAAATTTATGGCCAATTACTTTGAGCATTTTGCTTTTTTTTAATTTTTAGAGACAGGTTCTCACTCTATTGCCTAGGATAGAGTGCAGTGGCTATTCACAGGCACAACCATGGTGCACTACAACTTTAGCCTGCCAAGTAGCTGGGACTACAGGGAAGCCCCACCACACCCAGCTACTTTGGGCATTTTAGGTGTGGATGTTAAGTAACATCTTTCATATACACTTAGATTAATAAAAACCCATGTAGGTTTGTATGTTTATTTCATTAAAGGTTTAGATGAGTGAGAAAAATAGATTTCCTCAACTATTCTAGCTTGCCTTCATAAAACTGAGTATCTTCATATCTAATGATGGTTTTCCTTTCCCAATTACCATTTCATTAATCCTCTCATTCCTCATACTTTCACGATATTTATCTAATGTGAGGAAAAAACAAGGCAAACCTGTCTTACACATTCCTTCCCTTCCTTTTTCATCCCTATTGAAACATACCTCCATAATTATAGACCAGGGCTCATCTGAAAGTATTCCTATGTTCCACATTTCCTATCCCCTCACACTCACTGCGTCCCTACACTATACTAGAAAAGATTATTCTCAATAGCATACTTTCTGCCACAGGTGTTCCTACTAATTCTCAATTTCTTTTCTTGGTGGAAGGGTCAGGAGATTGAAGCTGCAGTGAGTAGGCTATGATTGTGCTACTGCACTCCAGTCTGGTCAACAGAAACCTTGTCTCTTAAAAAAAAAAAAAATACAGAATCAGAAAAATATTTTATCAAATGAATTTTGACAGATCTCACTTTCATAGTATAAGAGACTAATCAGTATATATCTAATTCATTTGGTATATGTCTTAGTCCCCTTGTGTTGCTATAATAAAAATGCCACAGACCAGGTTATTTATTTTCTTATGTTTTGTTGTTTTTTCTTATTTCGTTTGGGGTAATTTATAAACAATAGAAATTTATTTCCCACGTTACTGGAGGCTGGGAAATCCGAGGTCAAGGCACTGGCAAGACTGGTGTCTAGTGAGGCTTCTCTCTGCTTCCAAGATGACACCTTGTTGCTGCATCCTCCAGAGGAGAGGAACACTGTGTCCTCATATGGTAGAAGGGATGTAAATGCAAGAGAGCTCTCCTTTCAATCTTGAGTCCTTTCACAGTGTGTTAATTCCATTCGTAAGGGCAGAGCCTTCATAACTTGATCAACTCCCGAGTCACACTTCTTATACTACTGCACTAGGTGTAAGTTTCAACATGAATTTTGGAGAGGATACCTTCATTCAAACCACAGCAATATACTTACCTACGCTGGGTGCAGTGGCTCATGTCTATAATCCCAGCACTTTGGGAGGCCGAGGTGGGCAGATCCCCAGGGGTCATAAGATCGAGACCAGCCTGGTCTAATACAAATATTAGCCAGGCATGGTGGCACATGCCTGTAATCCCAACTACTCAGGAGGCTGAGGCATGAGGATCACTTAAACCTGGGAGGCGGAGGTTGCAATGAGCTGAGATTGCACTACTGCACTCCAGCCTGGGTGACGGAGCAAGACTCCATCTCAAAAATAATATATATATATAAACTTGTCTAAATACTTATCTAATGGTGGCCCAAAATGTAAGCTAAACATAATCTGTTTATATCATAAAGAACAGTTTTAAATATATTTAGAAGAAACAGTCAGATATAACAATAGAGAAGACACTATCTTTTATTGTTAGAGTCCAAAGACTTGTTTTCCATTTTCAGGTACTTATTTGAAAATCAAGATTAAAGACTAAAACCTTCCAAATATAAAATAAAACTTCAGCTAGCCTCTTAGGATCAGCTGCTAGTAAAACATTTAAAATAAAGAGGTTACTGAAGTTCTCAGTAGTGTCACTGGTGGCAGCAGTGGGCTGTCTAGAGCAGCTGCTGCAAAGACGCTGGCTGTAATAGGGGAAGTACAGCCAGGGCTGCATGCTCCACAGAGCCCATGGGAGCTGGGAACAGGTGGGAGCCACACCTACTTCCAAGTTGGTAGAGCCAGAGCCCCACCCTCCTGGGTACAGCTGCAGCCACCCAGCCATGGCTGTGGACCCAGGTATCCCTGTGCTTTCTGGGGCCCAGGAAGTCCCCCTTGCCCCTGCAGGCTCAGAAGTGCCTGCTCCCAATGCCTGGCCTCTCCTTGATCCCAGCACCAGCTCTCAGGTGAAGCAAAGGTGTGTCCAAGCCCGGGCACTGTCACGACCCAGTGGGTGTGCATGTGCATGTGCATGTGCTCGGGGCAGCACTGACATACCAGTCCCCTGCCACCTCAGCCCCTTCTGGGCTTTAGGTGCTGAGAAGCATGGGAGAGAGGCTAAGGTGAGGGCGGCTCACCAGGGCCAGCAGGTACCCCTCAGCACCAACAGCCTGCACACAATGGACAACATGCTTGATTGAGGTAGGAGGCAGACAGGCTCCTGGGAAAAAGTCCTACCTTCAAGGCAGGGACAGCCTGAAGCATGGGGACCAAGCTGTCAATTCCAGGTGGGGTCCAGGGAGGGGAGTGAGAACTCGCATTGCTTTTTCCAGACCCACCCACAGCCACCCATGGACCAATCGGTACACACTTCTCCCATGTGAAGCGCATAAAAACCCTGGATTCAGTCAGACTCATAAAGACTAGGGACTACCAACTATGGAAAGGAGTGAGTTGGACACTTGTTAGGACAACCTGCCTGGGAAAAGGAGCTGCCCACTTGGGGTCTCCTGAGAGCTGTTCTGTTGCTCAATGAAGCTCCTCTCCACCTTGCTCACCCTCCAGTTGTCCCCATACCTCACTGTTCCTAGATGCAGGATAAGAAGTTAAGACCCACCACATAGCAAGACTGAAACAGCTGTAACACAAATAGGGCTAAAACATGCTTCACCCTATTCAGCATCTTGTAGACAACAAGAAGGAAAGAAGAGCTGAAGACCTTCTGGGAGCCCAGACCTAAGGGCTCCCCAAGCCAGGTCTGTGACACCCTCTTTGGGGCTCTGTGGTTTCTGGCGTCTCCAAGCTTCCAGGCACCACTGTATCCCCCTCGTCCAGACGCAGATTCCCACAATGGAAGCCACTTCAGATGCATCAGATCCAGCCACAGGCTTACATGGAGCCAGCATGTGTGCCAGCGCCTGGAGACGCCCAATCCACTGAAGCAGCCAGGATGCCTGGCTGTAGACAGTAGCTGGACCTCAGACTCATTTGCTCACACACCCTTTGCCTGGCTGTGCCTCACTCTGTGCCTGGCTCGCCCTTGACAGGTGTGGGATCCGAGCTGGTAGCACAAGCCAAACACAGTCTGCCAGGCAAAGTGGGCAGAACAAGCCCAGCAGGTGCAAGCAAACCTCAGGCAAAGGCTCCACCAAC